TACCAATTACCAACACTACAATATCTACTTCTAGGCCTATGTCGCCGAGGGTATATTTCGTTTAGTAAAAAAAAATATCTACTTCTAAAATCAGTCGAATAATATATGTACAGTGGATTTTCAATTATTAACTAATATTCTATGAATATTTTGCATTAAACTATTAAAGTAAGACTAAGTCTTCTGAAATTACCACTACTATATATACTACTACTTTTTTGAACCTAGGTAATTTATCTTATAGTACCTGCATGGCTGCAGTATACTTCCCATATAATGTAAGCATTTTGACGGTTTATTATATACTCTGGTCGATCACAGGTGGCGGCGTTGGGGGATGACGACAATAGCAAGAAGAGCTTACCGAAACGCAGGAAACTGGACGAATACACTCACCTGATGGACCCAGCCCAGACGATCAAAGAATTTTTCATCAACCTCGACTGGGTTTTGGAAAAACTGAATAATGGGTCGGTACTTTTGGTAAGTCGAGTGTCCACTTATCGTACACCATATTATATGTAAATCATAAATATACAAATATAGAATATAAAAATAAATACTAATTTAATAATTTATAATAAAGAAATACAAACACWAAAAATATAATGGATCATTATTTGCCATWGCTAGGTAGTAAACAAATTATTCTAATAATTAGCTAGTTATCAAAATATTTTTCGTTGCRYTAAGATATAGAAAATAGATGCGTGTGACGGAAATAAATTAAAGTGCCTTTAAAGTGTATTAAAGAAATGTGTACAGGAGAGACAATTTTRCCATCTAGCTATAGGTACTATTTATAGTTGTCTGTGAAAAATGAAATTAAAACAGAGTGTGAGGTGACAAAAGAAAAATGTATGGTCAGCAAGARTGTGCACATGTTTATGTATAATGTATATAATATATATATTATATGTATACATGTAACCTGTATGTATACCTATTTTATAATACAATCTGTACCTATTTATCAATATAAATTTTTTTGATTCGCATTCCTATATTTATAATTTAATTTCTGCACCCCTATGGCCCTATATAGTTTGATAGTCTAAAATTGCCTATAATATGCGTGTTCAGAATAATATTTTACGTTCTATACAATATTATCGAGGGCGCTACACACATATTTGTCGTCTCCTTCTTACAAGTGCGTAACATAGCAAATTTACACTTAGCAAATCACATTTAATTTCGTTGGTTAACAATTAGAGTAAATTGATCTATTATGAAACTTGATAATAAGAATATTATCTGTATTTGTATGTTGGTTTCTACGATAACTTAGTTTTTAGATGAGTTATGAGCATTTTTAATTTATGCTTTCTTATGTACGCATAACTTACTAAAAACTGAACTATCGTAAAAAAAACCTACGTACAAACATAGATAATATTCTTGACATCAAATTTCATAATAGGTCGATTTACTCTAATTTTTAAAATAACGGAGTTGAACGTGATCTGCTGAGCGTAAATTTGATGTTTTGCACATGTAAGATGGAGATAACAAGTGGTTGTGTAGCGTCCTCTTAATTAGAATACACAATAGTACAATACTATCGTATATCTATAAATATACACGTTTTTATAGTTACTAGATGAACTGTCGGCGCACTCCCAAGACCCGGAAGCGTGTTTCCTCAGAGGCTTCCTGTCGTTCGCGATGCCAGCCTTGATGAACAACGGCAATCAGCTGTTCTCGCAAATGTCGCTGTACCAGCCGGCGGCCGACCGGTACCGTGACCTGCTGAACGCGCCTCCGTTTCCGACACTGATGCCCCTAGTTCCGACGAACGCTGCGACGGCGCARTTATCAGAATCCGACGGTGCTGGGGCTGAGGGAAAGTTCAACTTGGTCAAACGGTTCAACGACGACGCGAATTACGTGATCACCGTCAGCACCGAGCGGAAGGAAATAAGCGTGTGGGACGTACACACGTGAGTTCGGCAAAACATATTATTAGATCTCTTACATTTGACTTGATAGGTTTTTGTTTTTTTTTGGTCAACAGCTGTATGAGAGTGCGCACGCTCAAGGGAATTCTCCATCCGACCGCGCTCAAACTGATCGACAATCAGCGTTGCATAGTGTTGTGCGAGCGGAAACTGATCGTCATTAACTTGGCCACCGGAAAAGTGATCAGCAAACTCAAAGGTATGCGATATGCCTATGACTTTATTACAGATAAAAAATTTAAAAAATCTTGAAATGGAACCGGAACTTGACCGGTTTATTCACTTTCTTATATTGTACCGAAATGTGGTGTTGAATTGGTGGTATTTGGCTTTAAAAAAAATTAAATTCTATTTCATAAGTTCTCTGAACAATACAATATTAATATTATAGCGTTGTTCAAATACTTATATATTAATATTATTTATTATATATATATTATTAATGACTTTTTTTTGTCATTATGGTACAGATTTCTGAAGTGGTGAGTGGTGACTCTTATCATTACTAAACACATCTAAACACATTTTGCTTTTTATCACCCCTTTGCGCGTATCTATATTTAAACTTTAAAAACCTATTTCGTACCAATGTAGAAWACTGTTATACCGGGATCGGCGGGATCCAATTTTTGATAATTTCAAAAGTGAAATCGAAATTTGCAAAACCGTAAACATTGCATTTTGAAAATCGGAACCGTAATAAGATATAGCTGCTTAAATTTTTCCAACATTGTGGTTTTTAATTTTATAACACTATACACTGCCGTGGTTAAATACTGCAAGCGACTGCATTCGATCATTGTTGACCGCGCTTTTCGGTTTCCCGCAGGAGTTATGAATCAAAATATGCCTTACTTCGGCTTGCACAGTTCAACGAAACTCGTGGCGTTGGCTAGGAGCCGAATGCACGTGAATTTAATCGACATCGAAACGGGTACGATCGAGGCGTACTTTAAAGCCGGCGAAGACAGATTCCTGAACTCGCTACTGGTGTCCGGAAACGGGAGGTAATGAGGCGATGATAGCGTATCGACCGACTTGTTGGCGTTATTTGTTTTTTTTTTCTAATCCGTCATTGTGTTTTCGCTGCAGAGTCATGGTGTGCGGTGACGAAACGCAAAAACCTTTTCCACTGCTCGTGTGGAACTTGACCTCAAGGCAGTTGATGTATGACTTGCGTATACCGTGCCACGAATTTGTCACGCGACTCGCGGCCATCACTTACGAGGGCCACTACGTATGCTGCGTCGCTCAAGTAACAATTCATTCGTTTTCTTCAATGTTATAGGACCCATTAATAATACATTTAAAGTTGCTATTATTATTATTATAATTATTAATAACTGATTATTGRCAAATAKCATRTAGCCTACTAAGACACTAAATTTGGCCCGTACACATCATATATATGAATAAATATTATGAACTTTAAATTATAACTATATTAACTAGCTATAAACAAAGGTAAAATATATCATTGAGTGTATCGGAATCATGAATAAATTGTATCAATATTCGGAAATTAAAACCATCCTACGACAATTCGTTATTAGTTCCTTAAAAATGACGGATACAATCGCAATAGACGACACCCTAACTACTTAGGCCCTGCAGAGACTAATTTCGCTGCACTTACAACTGTACCATCTACCGCTGTACCTATGTCGTCRTGATATTAATAACGTTCATCGTTTATTTTCTACGCACAGGAAGTAGACGAGCCCGGGCCTAACTTCATAGTGGTGTACGACCTGCAGTCAGGCACGCTGTTCAAAAAGTGGAAGCCCGGCGTGAACTGCGTGGCGTTAGACATATCGTCCAAAGACGGGTGCGTCCTGAGTGGCCACGARAATGGTCACATATGCATCTGGGACCTGACCACCGGAAATTGCCGGTGGACGCTAAGCGGCCACTTGGCACCGGTCACCAGCCTCCGACTGGACCCAGCCGGCGGTTCTTTCGTGTCGCTTGACACACACGCCCGAGATCGGACCATCAAACTCTGGAACGTCACGACCGGTGAGTATATAGTGTTCCGATTGTTTTTCTTCATTTATAGGTACCTGCCTATACTTTCGGACTCTCGAGTGTCGGTAAAAGTCTAAATTGACGAGGCTTCATTAGTTTCAATACACAAAACGCTTGTGTCAGTAAGAGTATAAGTACGCCTTATAACGAGCAAGACTTATAACAAAGGTTTCGAAAAGACATTATAAAAATACGAATATGTATTTTGTGAAAGTGAAGTTATAATAAATAAAAATAAAACAAATATCTAGTAAACCTTTACAGTAGGTTTTTGACTTTTTGTATCATTATATACAGATATAGGATTTATAAATTATATAATGGTAAAAATAATGTGTTCAATTAGRTAGGTGYCTATTTAGGAAACAGTGAACATGTTAAAATGGATCAAAAATTCAAAAGTAAAAAATTTTAAATGTAATACACATTAATACCTGGTAGAAGTACCTATTTAAATAAGCAAGGGCAGCCGACCACGTATCACTGGGACTGGGAGCGAAGGACAAATAAATAGAAGAATAAGATTAAAAATGAAATAATAATAATCGATGCGTTTATAAGTTGTAATTAATATATTATTATCATTACATAATATAAACTCACTTTCGTTTGAACTGTCCGCAGG